TTTTTAAAAAAAATATTAAATAAGAAGTTACTATAAGCATTTAACTACTTAAAACTTCAAAAATCATTAAAATAACATTTAAATTGTTTAATAGCCATTAAAAATTATTTTGTGAAACAGACGTAGGGACGTCTACGGAGGGGATTTTGAAGTTATGTTTATTAAAAAATAAGAATGAAATATTAAATACATTTAGCAGAAATGCATATGATTGGTTAGCTAGAACTTTACGAAAAATGATGAAGAAAAATATTAAGAAATCTGCTGTATTTCCTAATAATTATCACTAAGGGACTTAAAAAATCACCTTTTTGTGAGAATGACCCACATCATTTTGGAATTCTCCGGATATATAAATCAGGTAAGTGTTATGATTTCTATAATAAAAAATTTACATTTAAGAATTTTTTTCTCTTATTTGATGATAATTTTCTATAGAATGGTTTTCTGCGACCAATTATGAATAAAAACAAAAAAAAACATGGAAGTTTTTTATTTTAATGTAAGAAATTTTAGAATTGTTTTTTTTTTTTTTTTTTTTTTTTTTTTTTTTTNCGTTTTTTAGTTTCTAAATAATGATTTTTATTGAAACTTGAAATTTTCTGATAAAATTTGTTGTCAAAAAACTTCTTTTACAAAATTAAATTATATACAATTATTTACGTATTATTTGCTTATTTTATATGATTCTTATGATTATGATATTGTGATTCTTAAAACTAAGGAATGTAAAGATTAAATAGGCCTTTCATGTTATATCATTAAATTTAGTAAAACAATTTCTCAGGCATTAGGTTTTAACTCTAATAAGAAGAAACATATTTTTTTTCTGTTTATGTTCAAATATTTTTCCAATGTGTTTTGGATGTTCTTTCTCTAAAAAAATGGCCAAACACCTTTTTAGTATAAACATTTTTGACTGTCCTAAATGCAAGCTCTGTCGCCTTGGGGAGAACATGGACTTGCCCCATATTTCCGTCTGTCCTGCGCTCATCTCCACTACTGTGTGTGGAAGCTACTGGGAGGCTAGGACCCGTATGGGCTAAGCATGTCACTATGCATTCAATTCTATTTATCTCTCTTTGCCTTGTTTTTCTTGTTATTTTATCCTTTTTGCTCTTTTAAATTGGCCTGCCATTGGAAATAAAAAAAAAGAAGAAAAAAAAACATCAAAGACGTCTTCAGTGTAACTGTTCACATAGAAATCGCAGGTATTCGTCTTATGCAACAACGCCCCCTATAGCTCGTTGCGATTGCGAATACTTTTCAATAATTACCAAAAAATAGGGTAACTTTGTAAGAGACAAGGTAAATATTTGCCACACATATATTCTAATTTTTTTTAAAACAAACTTTTCAAAAGTTAAAAGAATTATTAGAGAAGAATAAAATTATTATTTCACAAATAATAATAAGTAAAAAAAATAAATTTTTTTTTCTTCAAATAAATGAACGCATGCTTTTACAAATAATAGAAATAAAGATTAAAATTTAAAAATAAGGAAATACAATCATTATTATATTTTATTTCATAAAAATGCAACAAAATTTGGCGAGTTGCTTGACAGATATTTCGAAACGAAGCTTTCCACCAATAAAATTCCTTTCATGCATAAAAATAGATATTATTTCTATTTAAAGTAATCAAAACTTTGATCGGAACAAGCTATAATAAATTTTAATTTCATTAGTTAAAAACAAATAAATATTTTAAAAGAAAATTTATCTAAAAAATAGTTTACTGAACTCACCGGTACTAAAATTATATGCAGGTTGCTCTTATGGTACATTAACTGCATTGAGATGGCAATCTCATAGTGTGAAAGTATTTTTAATGGTTCAATTTAAAAGGAAATGTTATTATAAAACTAAAAAACTGTTCCGTTTCAGGAATTAAAAAATTCATCCGATCATCCTCTTCATCAACGTCATCGCCATTTTTATTTACATTTATATACGTCATCACATAAAATTGAAACGTCATAAAAAGCAAACGATCTGATTGGCCCAAGTGTGAGTTGCTTTTAATTAGAGACAATTTTTCTTTCAACGGAGCGAAGCAAGTTACTAATTTTTCGAGGAACTGTGATTTCTATATCACACGAGGATTTTCGAGCAATTTTCGGAGGAAGTGGAGGATAAGATTGCCTTGCCGGTTTTGTTGCAGATAATTTTCATCGTGTGATATACCCATAAGAAAATATGTTTTTAGAACAAATTTACTTAAAAATTAGTGTAATTGGTTAAATGTATTAAGAATTGGCGATCGAAATGGGCTACAGGTGGAGTAGAGCAGAACTCTCTACCTATGGCAACACTTCGCATGCTAGAGTGTGAAGAGTACGAATCGAAGAAGAAAGTAGCTAGTTTCTGTCGCTATTTTCAAATAGATTAAAATCTTTTAAGTATTTTTTACCATGGCAAAGTGCCATTCTTTTTACCCTACCTGCCATTATTTGTTGCATTTTATGTAATCCGTCTATTGTTTTTGCTTATGTTCTCATTACAGGATGAATGTGAAAAAGGCCATTATTGGCCTCAGGAGCCCAGCTAGACCAACAAACCAGACCTCAGTACTATGATGGGGTACCTTTTCATAGATGAAGGTTGACATTCTCGATAACAACTCTTCGCACAAGCAATTTACTATAATAAGAAAGACATTTTGAACTCAAATTGTTACATTTGAAAATCAGTGTTCAATTTGATTTCTTTGAAAGCACAGAGCAAATTTTACTTTAAATCAATTTAAATAACAATAGTTTTAATTTGATGATGAAATAGTCCGAATGGACAAATCATAGATAGCATAGATCAGCGATATTTTTCTTACTTGAGAAATGTTAATAAATAGCAAAAAAGAAGACTGTCGCCGAGGTGGCTGTTTTAGTTTAATGTATGCAAAAAATAAGTCTATATTAAGTGCTTTAATTTTCTTTTTTAATTCCTCCATATTGATTTGTTATTTTAGCTAACTTAATAAAAACATTGCCTATAATTTTTTTTAAAATCCCTAAAAAATGGATTAATGTAGTAGTTTTGTAATAGTTTTGTAATAGTTATGTAATAGTTTTCACACAAATTTTTTTATTTTTCTGGCTGATTTACCTTCATTTTCCGTTTTTGAAATAAGTTAACTGTCAACTTGTTAGCATTTGGAGAATATTTGGTGATGTTTTAATCTTTAACAATCAGGGATCTTTTAAAACTTCGTTTTCCATTAAAAATAAAAAAGAAAAAGAAAAAAATGGGCATCAAGTTTTCCGAAAATACGTATGTATGTTGCGAAGTATAAATAGAAGTTTTTTAAAATCTATAATTTGAAAGAATATGTAATTTAAAACTTAAATATTAAATTCAAAAATTATTTATTCAAAAATATGTAATAAATATAACAAATAATAATGGTAAGACAATTTAGAAAATCAGACGAACAGTTAAGAAGTTTTGAATTTATATATTTCTTAATTTTTAGAAAAAAGTTTTTCTTTTTCTTTTTGATTGCTGGTAAATTATATTATATAAATCAGTCGTTTTTTTCCTAGTGTTGATATAAAGAAAACATAACGAAAAAAAAAAGCTAAATGTTGGACTTGATAAACATTGGAAAAATTGATTGGAAAACATTGGTATAATGTATAAAATGATAAAGTAAGGACCGGAATCGTCTGGTTCAGACACTGGGACCATGTCAAAGAGTTCGTGGGTTCGATCTCAGCCGGCCGAAGATTCCCCGTGCAGTAAATGGTGATTGATGCACGTTAAATCTTTCGAGTCACAAAGTCCCCCATGTTCCCATAACAAATCAATACCACTGGGGGTTCTGATCCAGGAGTTTCCTTGTCTTCTGGATTAGTTCAAAATTACGGAGTTGAACATTAGTAGTCGGATTGGCTGTTCAACGACGGATATAAAATAAAATGATGAAGTAATAATTATAATGCTTTTTTATTTCTAATAAAGTTTAAATTAAAGACAAATATATCTATGCAATATTATACATATATATACTTTTTATAATTTTTCCATACTTTAACGGCATGAATATCTTTGTCGGGGGTAGTCTTGTCTCTGAGTAGGAAATTTAAAATGAGTAGGAAATTTAATGACTATTAAAATTGTTAATTGACAAGAGAAAGCAAGCTAAATAATAACCTACAATAGGAAATAAAAGGCTAGCAATGAAAATAAAATATGCAATTAATAGCGAATATCAAAACAATAGTATGAAATTAATAAAAACAAATTATCAAAAAACACCAAGCTGAAGCTTTTATTATTAACTTATAATTATTACCTTAATAAACGCACTCTTTATTAAGTTTACGTCTTTGTAGTACATATTATTTAATTTAACATTCCAAATTAGAATCATAACCTATTTTATACAATTTATTATAGGTAAGTAAACTTATTCTTTTCTCAAAGATTAAATAAAGATTCAAGATTTGACCTCGTCTATTCCTCTCTGACGGTGAGTTATGTCACGAGGAAGGAGTTTTTTTAAATTTTAGTTTGGTACGTTGTTATTTTGTTAATTTTTTTTCGAGCACAGCTACTAGTATCGAAAACTAAACGCATACATGCACCATTAGAAGCTATTAAAAATAACTTTTAATTAACACATGGTTTAGAAAAGCTATTTAGTTTTTGTTTGTCTTATAATTAAAATATATAAGTTTATCATATATTCCATAGATAAGAAAGGTATGATATATACTTGTAAAGCTTATGATATATTATGATAAATAAATATTTCGCTGTAAAATAGTCCACTCAAATTATTGCATTGTTTAGTGGTAAGAGTGGAATTGTTTATCATCATTAAAAGATCGAAAGGAAATCCTGGATAGAATTTAAAAAAAACATAACAAGTAGATTTGATAATGCTCTCTTTGAAACGAAACTGTAGAAGGAAGTTTTTTTTTCAATGCTTAGGTCAACAGGAATATTTAATTTATCTACAATTATCTTTTTTATTTTTTTCCCCTCAGCAATTGCGTCATCGCACTATCGTCTCTAATCTCATTCTCTAGTGGCAATCGGGTTTGTTTTGATTCGCTCACCCACTATATATGCGAAATTCAATGCGTTTATGGAATGAAATTTTAACGTAATCCTTCAACACCATCTAACTATGGATTTAATGGATATTTTGTTCAATACCTATGTTATAACTGCCGCGTTGGGATTTTTAGTGTACTTTATTTATAGGTAAAGTAATTTTTTTAATTTTATTTTTGTTCGTAATTGAGTTCCTTATACTGAGATCTCAATTAACTTACACTTATATTTTTTTTAAATTAACTCTCCAATATTTCCAACTGTGTTCTTATTTTAACTTTTACTTATTTAAAAAAAACTGTTAAAGAATTAGTTGTAGCAGAAACATATTCGTGTAACTATTTTAGATTTTATATTTATTATTATATATTGTGTTTTATAATTGACATTAAACAGCCAATTCAATTTTGAATTTAAGACTATTAATGTTCAATTCCGTAGTCTTGTAATTTTGAACACAATCCAGAAGACAAGGGATAAAGTATTGTGAAAAATTTGCCTTCGTGGAGGACTATTTGTGGGAACCAACTCGCATTTGCGATGGTGGGGAAAACCACGAAAACTTCCTACGGTTAATCTGACGGCAAGGGGCTCCAACCTATGACCCGTCTACCACTGAGGATATTTTACGTCAGCACTGTGGTCGGTGCGAGTCGGGTGAGGAATTTCTATGGACCAACAATCGCTTGGATTCGAAACTAGCTTACCTCTTTGGGAGGCAACATTGTAATTGTGCATTATTAATGTTTTAAAAATAACCCTATTGTGCGATTAAATTTAGTTTACGAATGGCATCGTGGTACAGCCACCAGGCATAGAACCCAGCGCATTGAACTGTCATTTGGGTTATACATCCAGTAGTGCTGGTTTAAAGCCCATTCAATCTTTATTTTTAATAAAGTAAAGACAGCTGGTTCGTATTATCTCTATCGTGACCAGTGGTTGGAAATAGCGCATTACAAGTAGTGAAACTACTGTAGTCTTTACTTTTTTTTCGTAGTTTATAGCGTAGTGTGCTACATTTTTGAAAAAGGAGTGTTAGCGCGATACAAAAAATTAGTAGTTTGTAGCTATTCCTGGCAACTTCTTTTAACGTTAGTTCAAACAAGAAACTTGATTTTAATGCAACTAATTTTTCGAATTTGATGGGTACGTCAATGGCTGCAATTAAAATGCATTAACAGAAATTACGTTTTTAAAATCACGTATAGCTGATATTTAAACTAGTCATTATGAATTGATGGGATCACCTCAGTCACACTTTCCCATACGAATGCACACTATTGAAACATGGATGTTATTTCAAAGGATGTACTTAATTTCTTAGAGGGAATAAAAGAGCATTAAACAATTGCAACTTTGCATTTCTTAAATTAAATGTCGAAAAAGGCCTAAAATATTAAATGAACGAATTCGAAAAAAATGTTATGGAATTACAAACTAGCTCATGTAAACATAAACGAAAATTTATTTATATTTATTGTAAGCCAATTTCTAATTCAAAATAAATTTGAATATAGGAATAAATTAAGTTCTCCAGCAAAGTTCGTCTTCTTAAAGGTGTGAAGTAGTTACTAAATTCCAAAGTAGTTGCTTGTAGTCATCTTTAAACACGTTTTGAAATTATGAAATTAATTAATATTTAAAAAAAATAACCGGTTTCTGAAAAAGAAAGGGTATGCAATTGGAGTTAAAATGAAGTGGAAAAAAAAAGCAAAAATAAAATCACATTAATGTTTTGGTTTTGTGGCATTGTTTGTGTTCTTTTCACGTTGTTTTAAATTTATCCAAATATCAATTTATTGCTGTATGTTATTAATTATGTTTATTAAAAAGAGGATTGGAGATGGTGTAGAGTGCTTTTTACATCATTTGTTTTTCAATTTCTATGCATTAAACGTTCCCAAGTAAACATTATTTTACAGCTTATAATGTTTGACATCTAGTAACAATATTATTTTTTGCTTGAGTTGTAAACTACCTTTCTTATTAATGATTTTTCACGATTGTACAGAGTTAAACCTATCTACTAAAAAGTAGTTTGACCCTAGATCTATACAGCTTACTGGATCTATGCAGCAATGTCTATAAAGCATGCCTGGATTTATACAGCATGCTGTTCCTATTATGCAATCTATGTCTGAAATCTTTACAGCAATAATGCAGTACGGAAAGAAATGTTAAGGCAACTATTGTGTCTAAAAAATCAGATATTTATCTTGCGTTGAAAAAAACAAAAAAAAATCTGTACTTAAATTTTAAATTATCTTAAATTTTAAATTATCTTGTTAAATTAATTGTTTAGCGTCTTAAATGGTGTTTTGTACCTTATCATAAAAAGATATTAAATCACAAATTCTATTTCAGATTCGCAACCAGAAATCACACTTTTTGGGAGGAAAGAAATGTCCCGTACGTAAAACCGTATCCCTTCATTGGATCACTCAAGGACAATTTTCAGAATGTAAGTTCAGTAATGGTTTAAACTTTTATCTCGTTAGTTCGTCCCTTTTTTGGGACGACTGAGAAAACAAAAAAAACAAAAACAAAAACAAAAATGCATTAAGTACTAAAAAATTATTTTTGTTTTGTCTCAAATCTGAAATAGATTAAATGACTAGATATTTTTATTTCAAATTTCATCAATGGCCGCATGCATCAACCATTCTGAAATTTCTTTTATATTTTTTTAAGGCAGACCGGAGAAAAATAACTTTTCGTGTAATCGAGACAGCTAAATAAATCAGGTTTTATTTTTAACCTGTTAGTGCACCTACGTTGCAGGAAAAAAAAATGCATAACTTCTTCATAAGAATTTTTTTTTTTTTGTCTCACAAATTTGACAACTATTACTATTGTTCACTCCTCTAATAAATTTTATCAACGGAAAATCAACTGCGCTTATCTCAGAATCAGATTTTTTTTTCACATTTGACACCACCTTAAATGTTGTTTTTTAAATAATTGTCTACACTATTTCATGTGTGCTTATGAATATAGCACACATGTTTTGATTTACAGACTAAGAGAAAAAATTAGAATTTCATTTTTTATGCATTTTTTTTCATAAAGGACAAATGCGGAAATTTTTTAAATNTTTGATAAGGCAAGTGTTAAAATGTTTAAAAATTTGCTTTTTTAACTACATTGACCCCTAATTCAGTAGTATATACACTTGCTTGGAAGATAGTAGTTTAAAACATAGCTGATAGTTTGCTAAATAAAAGACTCAAAGGCTTTTGTTTTGTTTTAGGAGATAGAAATGTGTTTACAGTGTTTTAACGTAAATGCAAAAAAAAAAAAAAAAAAACTTTTTTTTATCTAAAAATGGCCACATAAAAAGAAAATAATGATAATATTTTTGCTAGTTTTATGACATTTGAACCATACTAAAACAAATAAACTAGTTTTTTTTAAATTTTATATTAATATTTAAAAATAGCTGTCGAAACTAGTCGGATACCTCAAAAGGTACTGCTAAAAACGAAAAAATTTAAACAGTAATTATCTCGTTTCTCTTCGAATGTTTTTTACCAGTAAAGATCAGATTTCCAATATATTTCTCAAAATTACATTTGAAAACTTTAATGTATTGTATGTATTGAGATTATAAAATGGTTAATTTATAGCGATAAAAACCGTCCGCCTTTTGAACTGTTATAAGTCTCGTCAACGAGTAAAATTATTTATTTCTTCTTACCGAGTCCCACAATTTGTAATCCTCAAGTAAATTTTTTTCAAGAACGAATGATTATTTATCAAATCTAAGTAATTGTCTATTCCGGTACATAAAACTATTATGATTGTATTTTGAAAACAAAACTTTCTGTGTTTTTGTGGAAAATGTTAACGTTTAAGGAAAAAAACACTGATACATAGGAAGAAGTAAATACGGGGATCTGTGAGCGGAACGAACAGGGTGTGGAGCCTACTACTTTTTTTAAAAAAAAAATGTATATAAAATATATCGCAGTGTTATTGAAAGTTTTTGTGTCTAACAGCATTTGGTTAAAAATTCTCTAAATTGTAACCACTTCAATGTTGTTTTCCCCATTTAATTTATATTCATGATATAATTTAGCGCTAAATAAAATAACAGTTATTAAGAGCTTGTTAAATGTTCTTTTAAATCTAAACTGTTGCCAAAGCGGTAAAGAATAACTAATCAAGTGAATTCTAGGCTGGTAATTATAGTTGAAGTTCATTTGAATGTAAGTAAAATCGTAAAATCTACAGATGGCGTCTAAAACTGAAACTCAACATTTGATTCGATATTATTAGACCGATAATTTGCTTGAAATTTCAACGATCATATCGGAAATAATCCCGGGATGTTTAAGTATAATAGTGTTATTGTTTTCCATTAAAATCTTGTTCTTCTTATTAAACTTGACTTCATTTTTTTTTAATTTCTTTAAACGAACCAGAAGCCAGAAACCATTGAAGGATCGATTTGGGGTAAGGAACTTCGAATTTGGTATTTCGTGTCAAATACGCCTGCATTAATACAGCAGCAAGAAATTTTATACAGAATTTTAACTAATTACCTAAGTCTGAAAGAACAAAAAATATTTTCAGTGCTAAAAATACTGAAATAAGCAAATTTTGCAATAAAAAAAACTTTTTTACTATCAATAAAAAACTACAAAGATATGAACATTTGGGATTAGAGGGGGTTCGCTGTTCCTTTCTATAACCCTTCTTAATGTATGATATAAAAAAATTTTATCATACATTAATGTTGTTTCTTTGTTATTTCTTTCTAGAATCTAGAAGACTTGGATGCGGAACGATACAAAACTTTAGGCAAAATCTATGGGTAAGTATTACAAAGTTCGAACTAAATTTTAAAATTGAGAAAGTGATGTAAACTTTTAACAAGGAGTTAATACCGATAATTCCTCGTTTTAGCTACCACCTCAATATGGCGGCAAAATTACTAAAAATTCTGAAAGCTTTGGTTTTTAATTATTTACCACTCTATAAAATATTTTGCAAAAAGCGTATTAGTTGGCAGATCTGGCTAAACTATTAGGACTTTATTTTCCAGTTTGAGCGCTACTCTTGGTTTATAATTTATATGTCATTATAAATATGTTATTATCATGAGTCTGCTTATAGTTTTTCAAAAAAAAAAATTTTAAAAAAAATTTTGCTTTTTAATGCAGAAGTTTAAAATTTTTTCAATATTATCGCTATTCCTTGAAATCTGTTTAATCTAACCAATAAGTGCAGATGATATTTTAAATTACGAAATTAGACTTAAAAACGTACTTCCTCTGCACGTAAACATATTTATTTTTCGATGGATTTGGATTCCTCACCAAGAGTAGCGGTCAAGCTGGAAAATAAAGTACTAATAGTTTAGACAGATCTGCCAGCTACTACGCTTTTTGCAAAATATTTTATAGAGAGGTAAATAATTAGAAACCAAAGCTTTCAGAATTTTCGATAATTTTGCCAAAATGTTAAAAGCCTCACCGCAAAAGAGCTGGTACAAAGTGGCTTCGCATATGAACTTTTAAATCATTTGCGTGTTGAAAATAAATTTAAATGAAAAAAAAAACATTTAAACATAAACATAGCTGCCATTAGAATAAAATTTTACAAAAAGCGTAGAAAGTTGGCAGCCCTGGTTTAACTAGGAGAGAGGTCGAAAGTTTGAACCCCCCCCCCCTTCATGCTAATTGTACTTTTTACATAATTCGCCATACCTCGGGAACTTTTTAAGTTGATCGAGATATTTTTGCTCTCAATTATTAATTTCGTTCATCCAAAGATAATCTCATGCAAAAAAATGTTTTAATAACAATTTGTTATTTTATTTAATAGCCGAAATAATTTTGAATTGTAAAGTTTGCACATTTTTACACATTTTAGTTATTTTAATTGAAAAAATACGAAAATCAGTCGAAAAATTTCTAAATTATCAAATTTAAAAGAAAGTCGTATATTTATAATTCTTGAGAACAAGAATGCGAAATTTCTATAATAAATAAAATGTTATTTAGGGAGTGTTATTTTTCAAGAGTCAATCAGGACATTTGTAAAATAAACCAACAGCTCAACAGACTTTCAAACAAAGAATATACATACAAAAATTACAAGACATATACAAGGAATTACAAGGAGTATACTTGCAAAAATAACAAGGTATATACAAGGAGTTACAAGAAATATACTTACAAAGAATACAAGGAGTTACAGGGAATATACTTGCAAAAATTACAAGGTATATTCGAGGAATTACAAGGAATATACTTACAAAAATAACAAGGTATATACAAGGAATATATATACAAAAATTACGGAGTTGAACATTAGTAGTCGTAAACCTAAAAAAATTGGATCGGCTGTCCTACGATGGTTATAAAATGACTAACGGTTGCAAGATTACATTAAGACCCAATCAAGGATTGGTTACATAGTAAACTAAAAATAAATATTCGTTTCAATATTGATAATCCAATAGCAAATTGTCCCTTTTCAAGAACTATAATTTTTATTACTAGCACACCAACTGATTGCAAAAAGTAGTTGATTATAAAATTTTTACATCCTTCATTTTCAAAAAACTAAATTAAAATGTACGTTCAAGAAATATACTTTTAATATTTTAGATTCTATGAAGCGACAAAGCCATGCTTGATGGTTGCTGAGCCGGAACTTTTGAGGGATATTTTGATTAAAGACTTTCCAACATTCACAAATCGTAGAGTAAGTATTCAAGAATTTTCTTTGTCCTCTATCGTACATTTCCTTAAGAAACCATCTTATCTGAGGAAATTTTTTTGTCCTTTTCGTACATTTTCTTTGACTCTCATTTTTAGAAAATTTCTTGTCCTCGTCTGTGCATTTTTTAAAAGTTCATTTCATGCAGAATTTTTTTTATTTTTTATTCTCGGTTCGTTTTAACAAAAGTTCACTTCATGGGAAGTAAATGTGCTGTCCTCCTTGGCACATTTTCTTTAAAAAGAAAATTTAAAATAAATTTATTTTGTCTTCATTGGTTCATTAATTGAAAAGATCATTTTAAGCGAAGAAATTTTTGTCCTCGTCTGAAAATTTTCTAAAAAGTTAATTTATGCAAAGAAATTTTTTTTGTCCTCATCTGTACATTTTCTTGTAAAATCATTTCTTGTGAAGAAAATTTTTTGTCTCGTAGGTATATTTTCTTAAGACTTCATTTAAAGCGAAAATAATTTATAGTACATTTTTTTTGTAAATAAGAATATAACTGACTCAACATTTTTATTTCACGTACAGGAAAGTATTTTTTTCTGTTATGACAATATTTTTTTAAATTAAGTTTTTATATTATCTATTTATATATAATTCTCTTACGTGGCTCCCAAATTTTGACTGTATTTCTTTTCCGCCGGTGGCAACGTTTGTTCTGTTTTGAAAACACCAAAGCATTCTGCCTTTTAATGATGTGTTTCTGATGTAATATATAATTCTCTTACGTGGCTCCCAAATTTTGGCTGAAGTACTTTGTACAACTAAATAAGATTCTTTTCACAACAGTTAAATATTTACTTTATTTTCTTCATTCATAGAGAAAACAGTCGGCAAAGAATTCTGTTAGGTTAAAAAACATTTCGCTAAAAAAATAACGAATTCTAAAAGAAATAAAAATAAACAACTTAAAAAATAAAAATGCTGTTGCCAGCCATAGAATTTTTTGAAAGTTAACTTAGCAACATAAATCAAAATGACATAGAAGCGCAACTAGATCAAAATTATGATACCTGAGCGCTTGACGTAACAAATCCTTCAATTCTAAAAGTGTTGTATCGCCAAATGCCCAAATTAACAATTGTGTTCTTAAAGAAATTCTATAAAAAGTTTTAAATAAACAACCTACTTCTACAACTGCTTCTTGAAGAACTTGGCTCATTGATTAAAAATATTGTTTTAATTTTACAGTACTAACTTTACTTCTACTTTCATTATTGCTATGACCCTCTTTCATTACATTTTACAACTTCATGCTAAATTTGAGGACTTTAAGTTGTTTTGTGGTTGAATACTGACATTTAGAAATGTGTACATAAAAAAAATAATATTTAGAGGTTAAGAGTTGCCTCAGAAAAATTTGAATTGTTGACATTGAACTTAACAATGGAAACAATCGTTTTTGTGAAAAATTGAATTGTATTGTTGACATCAAAACTAAAAATATTGTGTTTCAACTTAACAATACTACCTTAATTTATACTTTAGAATTGCCTCGGAGAAATTTGAATTGTTAGCAATGACTTAAACAAAAAGTTTTATTTTAACTGACAAATACTATATTATAATTTTAACTTTTTCTATGACTATACTCATTTTCTTACTCTTTTCTTTGTTTTTTATACATTTTATTTTTTTGTGATAAAATAAAAAACTTATAGTTGTTCTGCTTCTGAACACTGATGAAAACACAAAATGATGGGCTTCATCAACAATCAAAAATATATACATTTATTTTACAAATTCCATATTATTAAGGTGGCGCCCTTCAGAGAATTAAAAATACAAAATTATCTTCATCAAAGCCGATGCTTTACATCCGGCGTTCAGTGGCAGACTACTATTTCATATTGTTTTACAACACATGGCTTTAGCCCTCTGGTGGGAAAGACTTTAAAACAAAACTTACAACAGTTACTTTTCTCAACAACTGAAATTTAGAATAGTGTGATTAAGAAAAATATGTGAACTGTTTGCAATTTCAAATTAATATTGAAATGTACAGGTTTAGAATTTTCTACAGTGAAAAGTTTTCGGAACTTCAGTATTCAAAAAAGTATACAAAAACTAGACGTTAAGAACGTATCCAATGAGCGAGCAAAGCGAGCATTGGATTGCGAAGCAATCCGAAATGAACTGCAAAAACAGTTCCGGGGGTTGGTGAGCGCCAGCGAGCAGGGGGCGAAGCCTCCTAGTTGTTAATATAACTCTTAAAGTGCATTGAGACAGAAGAAGTTTTTGAGATATAATCCTGACGTTTTGAAAATATGAAAAAACTAAGAAATAATTTAAATTTGAAAGTAATTTAAACTTGAAAATTGAGACTTTTATAAATTGCTCTAAAATGCTCAATAATTTTTCCTTTTTTCTTAATTAACATTTTTACCCATGTTTTAAGATATACCCAGGGTTGGATTAAAGTATGATGGGGCCTGAGGCTAATGTGCAACTTGGAGCCAAACCTATACCAAATTATCCAAAACTTACCTATATTCAGAAATATTATATCTTTTTATGAAATTCAATTCTAGTTTAATTTGTTTCACAAAAAGTAATTTTTTTCCACAAGAACATTAACATTTTTAAAACATCAAATATTAACATTTGATTCGATTAAGTTTCTACGTTGAAAATACCCTCCGTATGAAATTATAAATATTAAGTAATAGTAAGAACAAAATACCATATTTAAACAGCAAACAAACAAATTTTAAAAATCAAAAGCAACATATTCTTTTCTTAGAAAGTTTTATACACATTTGCCTACCAAAATCCCTAGGAAATTGTAGCTACTTTGTATATGGTCACAAAAAATTAGTTAGGAAAACCAAGCACTTGTGACTAAATCAAAAGAAGATAATTGATAAAACTGGATAGTAATTGGATGTGAGACAGAAGGAAATAACATGACTCAGTATAACTTTTACCACCGATTTTTACACCTAAAAATTACATTCACTTTTGTTTTGATTCCAAACGAAAATTATAAGACATTATACTTGAGATCGAATAATTTTTTAGAAATGTACAATAGAAATCAATTGTATATTCATAAACTTTAGTGGGCTCTAAAAGATTTCGGAACTTGGGACTACAACCCCTTCTTAATCCGGCACTGGGAATGAATAGTTTTCAAAATACATTGCTTTCTAAATGAACATTGATAACATAAATTTTATTTATGTTAATGAATCTCGCCTATTTCAAAGAAAAACACACAAAAGAAAATTACTCTGGAATTCTTTAAAAGAATTAATGAAATTTCTATTTTAGTATATGGACATGGGAGATGACGTACTGAATAAGATGATGACTGCTTTGCAAAGCGAAGATTGGAAGAGAGTTCGAGCTATTGTTTCACCCACATTTTCAACGGGAAAACTTAAGAGGGTAGGTAATTAATACTGTGCATTACGCGATTAAATGCAATCATTGCAACGGTGTTTATTAGTTTACTAACATTAAAACCTCACTGAGTAATTTTATTTTTATTACCGTCGTTGAACAGCCGACCCAATTTTTGGGTGTTTGACAGCTAATGTTCAGCTCCATAGCTTTTTAATTTTGAACCCAATCCAGAAGACAAGGAAACCTTTGGATCAACAAGTATTAGGAGAAATTTGCCTTCGTGGAGGACTTTTTGGTGGAACTAACTTAGCCTGTCGGCAAGGGCACTCTAATCCACGATCCGTCTACCACTGAGGATATTTTACGTTGGCACCGTAGTTTGGTGCGGAATTCGTATCGACCAGCCGTCGCTGGGATTTGAACCCAGTTCACCTCATTGGAAGGTAAATGAGCTCCCTGAGCCATCACGGCTCTAGTAATTTTTTTTATTTATTATTACCGTCATAGAACAGCGGACCCAATTTTTTGGGTTTACGACTACTAAAGGTTCACCTCCGTAGCCTTGTAATTTGGAACCCAACCCAGGAAGCAAGGAAACTCCTGGATCCGTACCCAAAGAGGTATTGACTTGTTATGGGAACATGGAGGACTTTGTGACCCGACAGATTTAGCATGCACCAGTAACCATTTAGTCCACGGGGAGTCTTCGGCCGGCGGGGATAGAACCCAAAATCTCTTTGAGAGGCGCCCAGCCCTACCAACGAGGCTATCCCGGCCCTTAGTAATTTTATTTGGCATTAGAAACTCGTTTTAAAAAGTATTATCTTGATTATAACAATGAATTAGCCTAAAACGCCTTACGTCTTTCGTGTATTTCGCCAGATTTCGAGAACTGTTTAAAATACAATTATAAATTTCATTTATCCAAATACAATTCCATGCAAAAAATAACTTTTAGTAAATATTTATTATTTTATTTAATAATTGTTGAAAAAAATTTGAATTGTAAGGTATTAAAATTTTCACATCAGTTTAAAGAAGGTTAAAATACGAAATTGAGCGAAATCTATCGAATAGTTCCTAAGAAATCGAATTTTAAAAATTCGATTTTAATATGTATATATATTTAATTTTTCAGTAGCTATATAACCGATTTCGCTCGAAGTTTGTATTTTGCAATATAAAATTATGTTTTTTAAAATGATGGAAAAATTTTACACCTTCCAATTTAAAATTTGTTCAACTGTTATTAAAATTAAATTTATAAAAATTATAATTATTTATTAAAAAAATATTTTTTACATGGCATTGTTTCTGTATAAACAAATTTTATAATTGCGTGCAAAAATTTTTCAATCCCTTTAAAAAGTTCTTGAGATGATGAAATGAGCAAAAAATAAAATTTTCATTAATTGGTCCAAAATTTGGACCACTCTTCTGAACTATTGTGACTATTTTTAACCAACGAAATATTGGGACCGTAGCTCAAAATATCTTCTGTACTAAATAATTAGCAAATTTATTTGAGGTCACGTCCTCGCACCATTAAGATTGAGTCCAAGATCCTGATCATAATATGGAAATGTATTCAAAAAAAGTTTTCCGCTCTGTACATGGTAAGGTGATCAATTGCTTTTAGTTTTGCATTCTTTCTCTTTAGTTTAAAAATTATATTTCTGTTGAAATCTGAAAAATAAGTTTAGTGACAAATCATTTGTCATTCAGGTTCTGAACATCTTTCAAGACTGTGCCAAAACACTCATTCAAAGTTACACAAAATCCGCTGATTCGAAATCACCAGTTGATGTTTTAAAGTAAGTAGTTTAAGTAATCCACTTTTTCGGAATATGAATTTATAAGCAAAATTTGTTATCCCTTTTTATAAGCAATATTATAATTATAACTGTCATTGAACTGCCAATCCAATTTTTGAGTTTACGACAACTAATAAGTAGCTTAACCCCGCCCCGCCCCGCCCCCGTAAGGGGGCATCAGGAGACAGTTTACGATAACTAATGTTCAACATTCTAGCCTTGAAATTTTGAACCCAATCCAGAAGACAATGGAACTCCTGGATCAAGTATTCGGAGAAATTTCCCATCGTGGAAGTCTTTTTGATGGAACTAACCAGCACTTGCGATGGAGAAGAAAACCACTGAAACTTCCAACCGTTAGTCTAATGGTAAGGGGCTCCAACCCATGATCCGTCTACTACTGAGAATATTTTACGTCAGCACTTTGGCCGGCCATCACTGGGATTCGAATCGGGTTCACTTTATTGGAAGGCGAATGCTCTATCCCCTAAGCCATCACAGCTCTTTTTCTAAGCAATCGAAAAAAGCCATAAAAAAGTATAAATTCTATGTTTTTAGGAGATTAAAAATATTTCTGAAACAATACAAAAACTTTTCGTGAGGTGTTTTTGATAGTATATATTTTTATAGACTGATCAGGCAATTCTTTACTTTCATTTTTAAATTTTATTTTATTATAAAATTTTTATTTATTTCATGTTTTGTTTGAATATATGCTCAATCTTTAATTTATTTTTATTCTCTTATATTTAAAAAAAATTTTTTTTTTTTTTGCATATTTTTATTAATTTTTACTCCACGTAATTTTAGGTTTTATGGGGCGTATACTATGGATATTATTGCAAGTTCTGCCTTTTCTACAAAAATTGACTCTCACAACGATCCAGATAATATATTCATCCAAAAAGCTAGGACGATATTCAACCAGGATATGGGATTTTCTATTCTTCTTTTCTGTAAATATACAAATTTTATAACATTCATTATACTTCTTTTAGTATGTATGCTATTAAATTAATAGTAAACTTAAATTGGTAACATGCTATTCCATAACTATGTTAAATATTATAATAATGTTGCTAAAACATATTACAATATTCAACATAGTAACATAATAACGTTAGTACTATGAATGTTACTAAAACATATTATTTATTGTTTTGTTACTAAAACTTATGGATTTTTTTAAAATTAAATATTACTTCGTTAGTTTAAATCTAAAACTAGCTTTAAATACAGACACTGAAGTTTATGTAACTGAACTTTAAGTAACGTGCACTGGTCAAGGGGGAAAAGAAATAGAAATTCAAAATAAAATTTACTTTAAAAAAACAATATTAGAAAAATTTATTTACATTTAAAGTCTAAAAAAGAAGTTCTGAAGTACGGAATAAATGTTTCAGCTGAATTTTCAAAAGCATAATTTTTGTAATTAAAATTTTTCTGTCTCATCGGTTGTTATTATTTTGTTATTAATTGTTTACCAATTCCTTATATGACACCTAATATACATTTATTTCTAAATTAGATGAAAATTGTCTGACAATGTGAATGCATCAGACAAGTGGATTGGCGACATTTTCCACTTTATATGCAGGAGCCTGGATTCCCTTTTCTTTAAAAAAGTACTCAAGAACCGTGACATAAATAATTAAAAAAATATTATTTAAATCTATATAAACATAATACTTTTTAACTAAATTGATCTGTAGGTTAAATCTTCTATGACATATTAATTAAACTGGCTTATTGACTTCTAGGCTTTGAACTAGAATATGTTATTATTTTGTGGCCACGTGATTAGTTATTTGCCAAATAAATAAATAAATAAATAAAATAAAATAAATTTTTTTATACTGTATATAACAGTAAGTAAAAGCTTGCAATCATTCTAATTCTTAGCATATTTTTTGCTGATCAAAGACCATATCTATCGAAAAGAAGGTGTAAATACACCTTCTTTTCCCTATCCTTCACCGTTATCAAGCTATTATTTTTAACTATTGAACTAAAAAACAATTTGGACTTTTATTACTTATTTTTTCGACAATGACTTTTTTTATGTTTTTTTCGGAGAGTGGCAATATTCAATACCTCCTAAAAGAGACAAGGTCTCCGCACGGGTTGCCACAAACGAGAACTCCAATCCTTTAGCAGTCCGAACGTACTAACATATTTCGTATTTTCCACCACTGCACTGTTGTTTAGTTGCTCAAACATTGATACATCTTTCTTATTATTCCCGCACTGCGCACATTGCGTCACGTCGGACTCCTCACCTGATCCGTGTGCTGAGGCCTTCTCTCTTCTAGGAGTTGTTGCGTTATTGCCGTATGAATGCATCGATTTTTTTTAACGTTTGTATGACAAAGATATATTTTTTTTTCAGTTTTGTTTCCGAATATTATGAAACGGATTGGATTCTCGCTATTTCCAAAAGATACTATGCAATTTTTTAAGATGACGACTCTGCAAATCATCAAAGAGAGGAAGAAAACAGGACAGGTGATTTCAGTTTTTATTAACATTGCCAATTTCAGTTGTTTGACAATGCATTGACTAAACTCTTTGTTTTACCTTTAAAAATAAATTTAATTCTATTCAACATTTTTATTGTACAATCATTTAATCATATATTAGAAAATAACTTTCTCAAAACCAGCTTCTCATGCCCACGGTAATATAACATTAAAACTAATGTAACATTAAAAGTAAGTATAACCAAGTATTTTTGACAAAATAATAAAATATTTATAACAAATTCCACTGTAAAAGGCAAACATAACCAAAAATTGAAAACATGTTTAATTACGATTAAGTTAAGTCTGATTGGAAATGTATATTTTTTGGGACAAATTTTTCACTTTTTTTAAAAAAAAATATTCAATGATTGATACTTTTTTATAAGTGACAAAATTTTGCAAAATAATTTCAATGGTTTGCACTTTAAATTGCTTTATAAATGAAAGATAAAGCGAAAATTCATTCACGTTTGTTAAAATTAAAAAAGAAACTCTTTTAAATTCAACCATTTTAAAAGAATTTGGTTTTTAAACGAATTTGATTTTTAAAAGAATGAGACAATTTAAAAGAACGTATGTATATACAGTGGCTTAAAAAATACATTGATTAAAAAAATTCAACTCGTACCTAACTGTTCTTCTTATAAAAACGCTGGGGGATGTTTCCGTATCGTGATCTGTCTCGCCAACTACAATCGCCAAAGTGCCACATGGATTTTAAATTTGCAAGTTTAAAAAAAATAAAATAAAAAAATGAGTAGATGTTTACCGGCGGGTGACTATGTGTTATATCTTTCGAATAGGTCCTTTTCTGTGATTGTTATTCTGCTACAGATCACGATACGGAAATCTCCTGAAACGCTGAAGATATTTATTATTTTATATATTTATTTATTATTTTGTATTTATATATTTATTTTAAAATATTTATTATTTTATATAAAATGAGATAATACATAATTTTTACGCAATAAAACATCAAAAACGCTACTTAAACAAAAGGAACTAATAATATTTTAAGTTAACGTTAGCCTCATGGAAACATAAAGTTGATGAAACCTAACCCCTCGAGAGCTGGAAGTCGACTGATTGCTCTTATTGCTGCCATTCGATAAAAACAGTTGGGTTACAATGTTTCTTGCATTTTTTTTATTTAAATCTACATGATGGATCGACTTCCGTCGGCTGAGTGGTAGAGCTTCGCGCTACTGTGCCACAGGTCCTGGGTTCGATCCTCGGACCGGGCAAGGTTGCCTCACCCTTTCATCCCTTCAGTGGGTCGATAAATGAGTACCAAGCATGCTTGGGAACTAATCACTGGGGGTTTCGCGTTCGGCTGACCACCTAACCGGAACATCTGCTCCTGCACCCCAGAGTCCAAGGTCAAGAAAACTGAGATGGGCACAGTAGGCACTGGCCCTCCATGGGCTGTCGCGTCCCTGAATTTAGTTTACATGATAGATATTCTGAAAATCGATGGATCAAAAACTTCGAACAATTTTATATTTCGAACAGTATATCTTAAGTTGTTATGCAAACTGAAAAATCATGTATTTTAGAAACATTAACAGAGAGATCTTAACAATTCTTAATTTTTTTAAATTGTTCAAAATTGAAATTATTTTAAAATTAAAACAAGAACTTTTCGTGTATTGTATTTTTTTTATTTAAAAAACTATTTTTTGTCCTCAAATTAATTTTAAAAAAAATTGTTTGCAAAAAAAACGTGTTTGAACGATCAGGAATGTTTGATAATGACCCAAGTAAAATTTCCAATTGAATCCCTCCCCTCTCGGAATAACTCCGGTTTTAACCGTCGCGTCAAAAACCTTTTTTGACATAGTTTTTGACAATTATCAAAAAGCCAAAATTTTGGTGTAAGAATCATTATTAGCTACAGTAAATATAAAGTAATTATAAATAGACATAGATAAATTAAATAGACATACATAAATAGACATACATACAGTGATCAATCAATTATACTCTTGAATTATTTTAATGTTGAATGCAAGTAACAAAATATACCTGCATACAAGTAATAACAGCAAAAATTGAGAATCAAAAATAAATTTTATGAGTTGAGATTAGACAGTTATTGGCGAACACTTAAGTTTTTTTAATTAAAAAAATCTGTCTAAATTGTGACATAAAAGAATGAAAATCAATATTTAGGTTGATAATAATTATTATTAATAATAATAATAATGAATAATAATAATAATAATAATTAATAATAATAATAATTTATAATAATAGTGATAATAATAATTATTATTAATAATAATAATTAATAATAATGATAATAATTAATAGTTATAATATAGCAAGCAATTTTGAGATTAAAGTATTAAGAGTAAACCAAAAAATTGTCTCAATAATTTTGACTATATTTTTTATAAATGATATAGATTATGATTAATAATTATAGTAGTATATAAAAATATGTCATAAAATCTCCCCAATGACAAAAATGAAGCTTGCCCCAGGTTTATGACAGATTTCGACAATTTATGTCAGTTTTTGACAAAATAATATATATATATATTTTTCATTTCTTTTTAGAAACGGAATGACTTTTTGCAATTATTAATGGATTCTGCTGATGAAATAGAAAAAGAAGAGGACACGGAAAATAGTTCAGAAGACATTATTCGAAATTATGGGGACGAATCCAACAATAATTTAGTCTTCAAAAATGTTTCGACAAAAAGTAAGTTTGACATTTCTTTAATTTTCAGTACCCATGTATCATGCTCATTACCATATTTTTCAGTACCAAAAAATGTGTAAAATCTGTAGTTGAGCACTAGTAGAGTGCTCAATTAATAACTTTTGATCTTATGATCGGATTTTCATGCTCTAGGACTCAATCCTAATGGTTCAAGGGTTAATAGGCTAATAAATTCGTGAAGACGATACCTTAAGTTACAAAATCAGACTTCCCCTGAATCTGGTCGCAGAAACACTCCAGCTGCTGTGATAATTTGCAGTAGCGCGGCAGATTATCAGAACGTCTGCAGATATTTCAATTCAAATTTTAAAAAAAAATAAATAACGAAAAAATTTTTAAAAAAAATTTTGAGTGGAAAAAATACGAGCGAGTTAAAGAAAACTAAAACTTTTTACGATCAAACTAATCGAGGAGAGATAAAAAAAAAAAATATATATATATATATATAAAAAATAAATAAATAAAAAATAAAAAAAAAGAAAGAAAGAAAAAAAAGGAAAGAAAGAAGAAAGACTATATCGACAGTTTCGACTCTATTCGGTTTGACTCTATTTTTCGAAATATTTTAAAAACAAAGCCATAAGAAATCATCCAATCATATTTCGAGGTACAAAAGTATGCGATATTTTAAATTCTTTATTAATTTTTTTAATAAAAGTATACCAATGCCTTTTGCACCAACACATTTTGAAAGGTAGTTAGTATCATATATTAGTCTATTTTTAGAGATTTGATAAACACTTTTGTCTTTCAGTAATAAACATTAAAAAATTGTTCATCATCATCCAAATATATTTTCAATAATCTAAACTGCAATAATATTAAATTTTAAAAAATCCAAACATTCTTAAAAATGTACAGTTTTTAATTGCTTACAAAAAAAAAAAAAAAAACCNCTAAAAAAAAAAAAAAAAAACCGAATCACATAACTTTATTGCTTGAGAAAAAATGTATACTAGTTCCAAAAAATATCTAGCGTTTCTTCTCCCCCATTGAGAAAAAAAATTTATACTAGTTCTAGCACTAGTTCTTCTCATCTATTAAGAAAAAAATTATACTAGCTCTAGCACTTGTTCTTCTCATCTATTGAGAAAAAAAATTATAGTTCTAGTACTATTTCTTCTCATGAATTGAGGAGCTGAGTTGAATCAATTTTCTAATTGTCTTTGTAAGATCTTTAATACAAATGAACTTTTACAGGTTTAGGAATGAATGAGCTGATTGCTCAGTGTGCCCTGTTCTTCATTGCTGGTTACCATACCACTGCGTTGACGTTAGGTTTTACGACGTATCATTTAGCACTTGAACAACGTGTGCAAGATAAGCTTTTTCAGGAAATCGAAGAAGTGCTGAGTCAAACTAACGTGAGTTTCACAAAAATATACATTTTCATACTCATTCCACAAGGCGATAAGAAATTACTGCGATACATTGCGTCAGAATGGTGTGTTAAGAATGTTATGCATTTTTTCATTCTTTAGCAACTTATCACTTATGTTTTTTAGCGCCTTTTCAGAGATTAGACTATTTTGCTTTATATTTATATTTCGCTAAATATTTGTACGAAATGTCTTAACGCAGTTTTTCAAAGCTCTAGGAACAGGAAAATTTAAAAAAAAAAAGTCATAGTTTAAGCGCCTTAGAATTGAAGCAATGCGAGGATTTTAAACTTTATATATAATCTTGCCGAGAAGAAGTATCTGGGTTTTGAACAGACAAATAACTTAAATATTGTACAAGTTATTAAACTTATTTAAAAATCGCCTATTTGGCGACATTTTTTTACCTAGATGAAAATTATCAAAATCACTGCCTTATTCTCAGTTTTTGTAAATTTTCATGAGCCTAAGTATTGTAGCATTAGAGTAAATTTTTGAATATTAAAATATTAGACCGCAAACGCTTTTCATTTTGACGTTTTGCCATATGACATATTTATTTTCATTTTGACGTTTTGTTCATTTTGACGTTCTCCATATTGACGTTTTGCGCCATTTTCAAAATAAACTTAGACAGCTCTGGCTTTAGATAGGCTAAACTTGATCTAACAGTCATGAATAACAGTTGCAAACTCTCAGTAGTTATAAAAATAGCGTATTAATCGTAAAAAAAAATCATTACATATAACGACGGAGTCTTCCAAAAACAGTCTTAAAAAGTAATTTTTGCTTTAATTTTGATAATGCGAGCCACGATGCCTCAGGGTGCGTGCGAGGTTGTATGTCAACACGGAAGAGTCCTTGACTTTCTTAACTGCCCAAACGACCTTCTTTTAGGACAGTCATGTCCAGCAAAATTCATTTTTAAAAATTCATAGTTGGTTAAATTTAACGAAAGTATCAAATTGCTTTCACCAGATCGAACTCAACTTTGTCGAAAAGGAAAACTCTAAGCGTTTTTTTTTAAAATTCAATCTTCATTTTAAATAAACCGATGTGCACGGTGGATCAGGGGATAGAGCCTCCCAAAGTGGTGGCCCAGGTTTGAATCCCAGCGGTGGTTGGTTTGTATGAATTTTGCTCCAGGTACGCACCGATCACAGTGCTTACTTAAAATATCCTTAGTGGTAGACGGATTCTAGGTAAGAAACCCTTTTTTTGTGGGGCTAGCCGCAAGAGTCTTTCGTGTAACGCAAACGTGGGGTGAGTTTAGTCAAACAGTCCTCGATGAAGACTAGTTTGTCCCAATGCTTGTGTCCAGGAGTTCTATTGTCTTTTGGGTTGGGTCGTTGATAGTCGTAAACTCAGATTTGGGACGACTGTTCAACGCCGATTATGAAATAAAATAAAATTTCGATAATAAGAATAATGCAGATAAGCCTAATGAAGAATTTTGTTTTGTGTCTTCTTAGGGTGTGCTTACATATGAATCAATTCAGAAAATGAAGTATTTGGACAATGTAATTTCTGAAACACTTCGACTGCACCCCCCGCTTACAAGGTATATATTTGAAATATTTCCTTTTTTCAGAATGTTCTTTAATAATATACATTGCAACAAAATCTTTGAAAAAACGGATTTGCTTTTTAAAATTAATTCTCTCTCTACGTTTCAAAAAAAAAAATAGTGCGTCGAGTCCCTCCGCGCGAAAGAAGTTAAACTTCGCAACCTGCGACGTTAATAGTAGAAGAATCAGCAGTCGTAGAAGGATCACTAGTTCTATTCAACGACTCTTTTTCCTGCTCCGTTCGCTTCCGTGCTCTGTAATCACGGTAATATTGTGCATTTTTCCCTCGTGGACCTCTTGAACCGGTGGAAGTGCTTGTGGTTGCCTCATCGTCTCGCCCTGGAAAATGTATTTGTATTAATAATGTATGTGAATCATAACGTAATTTCAGAAGAGAAAACCTAACAATCAATTGATATTCACAAGAGACGTACCTTGATATAACCTTAAATTCGTCGCATTGTCCGTGGGATTGTTTTCACTCATTTTTTACAATTGTTATCCCCTAAATTGGAAAATAAAAAATACTACCCTATTAAATTATATGTGTATCAAAACAAACCAAAAAAATATTTGAAGAAAAACAATACTTTTATTATTTTTATGCTAGTGAGAACCAAAACAATATGGAAATGAATGAGGGAAAAATGGACTCTACCACGTGATTTCCCGGCCAATAAAAAAGTAGCGTTAAACGTTTAACGCAACCTTGTTGGAAGTCGCATAAGAAGTATAACTTCAAAAAAAAAAGAAAAAAAGAATGTAATTAATGCATAGCTGCAAGAAAAACAAAAACACGAGCTAAAAAAAGAAAATTTAAATAATTTTTTCATTTAGTGACATGTTGCGTGTGTTAAAATACTATGAAAGTTTTCCTAACTTTATTTGAAATATTTTGATTCCTATGATATTATATATAATGTTCTGGGTATTAGGGATAGTACATAAGAAATACAAAAATAATTATTTACATTTGCAATAAATTTAAGTAAAAAGTAAAATGATCATAAATAGTAATTTTATAGATTACGCATAATTAGCTGTGATGAAAAACACAAAAATTAACCGAACCTGGAGGTTTTCCGTGATATGTTAGCATGTTGGAGTTAAACGTGTATGTTAAACATGTATAATTACAAACGCTGTCTTCCACCAACCACTATTTTATTCTTTAATACAGATTAAATCAATAATGTTAGATTATGCAGACTAAAGCAATCTCAAAATATTTTAACAGATTTAATCAACATGGATGATATAAATGTATTCTCAGAGAATCAGCTTAATAATTACAATATTGTTTACAATAGAGCAAAAATGGAAAACGAATCAACAATAAATTAAAAGAGAGAACTTTTCATTTTTCTCCAAACTCCGATATTGGTTGGGAGGAAACCACCCTCTCCTCCCAACCACTATAAACCACTACGTTACAAAAACCTTCCTCTACAAACCACTACTTTTAAAAACCTCCTCTACTCCCAACCACTATGTTTCAAAAACCTTCGTTGCTGTGCCTCTAAATGTTGTTTTTTCCTACATATATAGGAACAGCACCAAGCTTGGAGGACCGATTTACATTATGTCTATCGTAGCTAGCCTTCTACACCTTTGTATATTATTTGCAGAACTGTTGGGGCAAAATTCTAGGGGAGATAGGGCACATCACCAGGATTAAACTGCACAGGAAATATCGTTATTCGAGGCTAGGGGTGCTTTTTTTATTCTGGCCTGTTCAAAGGAACAGTCAAAATCAGAAATATAAAAGTATCGAAGAGCTGCTAAAAAAAAAAAAAAAAAAAAAAAANAAAACCCTCATGTAACAGGGGGAAAAAACATTTGTTCCCCAGTGTCATTATTTACACTTTTAATAGAATTTGTTGCAAAAAACAAAGATCGATAAAATATATTCTAGTAAAATAATGAAAATCAAACAATGTTCTTTTATTTAAAAAAAAATCGTATTTTAAAAACAGGTTGGACAGAACAGCTGATGTTGAATACAACTTAAAAGGTACAGGAATTACTATTCCCAAAGGTACATTAATAAACGTTCCTGTGTATGCCATGCACTACGATCCAAAACTTTTTCCCGAACCTGAATGCTACAATCCAGAAAGGTGAGTAAAATTATTTTTAAAAAAATGAGCATGAACTACTATGTATTTTAATTAAGGCAAATGAAGCATTTTGTAAAAAAAGGAACTTCAAAGGTGTAGAATTGTTTTCAATTATATATTAATTAAGTTTTTTGTATCAAATTTTAAATATGTATTATTTTTACCAACTGTCTAGAAAGGCAAACGATGCAATTCCAAAGTTTACCTTCCAAGATGGCTCAAAATATTAAAATATTAAAAATTTATTTGATATTTTGAAATTAATAGTTAAAGCAGTATAAGTGAGTCAACTAAAGGTTTCTAAAATATACAATTTTCAAATATACAATTAAATATAAAATAACTAATCACAGTAAAAGTTTAATTTTAGTCAGTGTCATTTTCTTGGTGCAGAAATGCCACTTCTTTTGGCGTCATGAAAAGAAGTGTCGATGAATAAAATTTAGCGTCTATAAAAATTATCCTAACTGATATAATTATGCGTGAAAACAAATTTACCAATTATGAATGATAAGGCTATTTTAAATAAATAAACAATTATGTTTTTTATTTAAGTTTGCATTTAATTTAATATCATAAAAATGAGTTAGCTTTAAAAGATGAGAAGAGGTTTGTTTGTTTTTTCTAAATTTTTTTTTTATATTTTAACTTTCAACTCTTGAAGTAAATCGTTGATAGCATCGTCCTTAGTGCACTCTGACTACAACATGAGACTGTATCGTCAAAAAGCTCTCCAAATAAGAGCCTCACACAAATATTTGGAATACAATTTAATCTACTTATATTTGTTTTGTTAAATCTTTTGTTTTGATATTTTTTCGTGTTTCTTTATTTCACTTTTTCCCGCATTTGGTGCATATACTTGTTTGGTCACTGGAAGCGGTTTTGATGGTCTCTCTTAAATGTTTTCTTCAACGGAAAAAAATTCCGTTAAAGAAAACCTTCTACGGAAAAAATTCTCTTCTATTTTCGTTCCACTTAAAAAATTCCGTGCTCCCCCCACACCAAATTGGTCTTGAATAGGAGGGTCACGACATAGAGGTGGATTTCACTGTATTTTTGATCTGTACTCGATGACCCAAGAGTAACAATCCGATAAATAACGAAATGAAAAAAAGGAAGTAAAAATAAAAATAATTCAACATAAATGGCAAAAACTAAGTATACAAAAATCATGTCTAGGAAATCATGAAACTTAAGCTATAAAAATCTGATTAAAAATTTAGATAAGGCGAAGCTATCTCCAAGTAAGCCCAAAACAAATTGCAATTTTTCTATTTATCGTGAAAAATAACCAAATTTGGTGAATAAAACTTCGGTTATTTTGAATAAAAACGCACAAATATTTTCAAAATTTGTTTTATAAGACTTTTTGTGAAGATTTTATGATATGAAGCATTTCTCTCTTTTTTTTCTCCAGGTTCAGTTCAGAAGAAAGAGATAAAATTGTTCCTTATTCTTACTTACCTTTTGGTGCTGGACCCAGAAACTGTGTTGGAATGCGTTTTGCGCTGTTGGAAATCAAGATCTGTTTAGCGTATGTCATCAGTACCTTTCATGTGGAAACATGTCCAGAAACGAAGGTATTATCTCCTTATAACATCTAGATTAACGATCAAATCAAAATCTGATGCACTCTTAGAAATTTGGTCCAACTTACAACCATTGAATCATTAACAAATATCATAATAATTATGTTAATTTGTTTCCACCTCAATAAGGTGTTAAATTGAACTGTACTTCCCTTTTAGTCCAACCATAGTACCACTATTAGCACCACAATTTGCAGCATAATTTGGTACAACTTGGGACCTGAGTAAGGTTGCGGTAAATATTCATAATATATAGTTTGACGTGATCAAAAATTTCTAGCAGTGCGTCAACTAATGGATTGAGGGGGTTGACCTCAAATATGCTAATTAATAAGTGCAGACAATGTTTTAAGTCACGAACTCAGACACAAAAACGTACTTTCTCTGAATAAACATTCCTTTTCTTTCGACTCATTCGAATTTCTGACTCCCAAAATATAGGGGGTAATCGGAATCTGAGAAATATGATTCCAATAGTTCGGTCAGGAAACCGTTCCAAAGTTTGGGCCCCTTAATGTTTAATAAAGTTTTTTGTGTATTTCGAGAATTTTTAACTCGAATTTTAAAAAAACTTTTTCACACAATTATAAAATTCGTTTATTGAAAGATAATTCCATTCAAAAAATAGCTGTTAGTAACGATTTATTATTTTTAATTATTTTAGTTAATTAAGGTCAAAAATATTTTGAATTGTAAGGTATAAAATTTTTTGCATTATTTTAAAAAACATAATTTTACATACAATCGGTTGAATAGTTCGAAATCGAATTTTAAATATCTAACTTTTTTGAAATTTAATTTCTTAGGAATTATGTAACGATTTTGCTCAAACTTTGTTTTTTACTATGTAAAATTATGTTCGTTAAAATTAGGCAGAAATTTGCACACCTTTCAACTCAAAATTTCTTCGACCTTTACTAAATAAAATAATAAAAAATAATAAATATTTACTTAATGTTATTTTGTGTATGGAATTATCTTTGGAGAAACGAATTTTATAATTGTGCCCATAATTTTTTCAAATCGCTTATAAAGTTCTCGAGATATAGCGAAATACGCAGAAAGTAAAATTAGCATTAAAGTGTCCAAACTTTAGAACGCTCTCCTGACCGAACTATTGGGACCCTATTTCTCCGATTGCAGCTACCCTCGATATTTCGGGGGTCAGAAAACCGACGAAAAAGAGGTATGTTATTAATTTAAAGGAAGTACGTTTTTGTGTCTGATTTCGTAACTTAAAATATCGTCTTCTCTTATTAATTAACATATTTGAGGTCACATCCTCGAGCCTTTAAGATTGATTCGACCATGAATAACTTTTGATCATTAGATCAAAAGTTATTCATGGTCGTCCGTTTATTTTTTTGCGCTCTGTTCATTTGCCCTTAAAAAACGGACTATATTCACTTAAGTTAAAAATGCCAAGTTTTCTATTTATGGCAAATATAATGCAATTCGCGAGATATTTGAGCGAGATATTAATGAATTAAAATTGAACTTCTCAAATTATAATAAATTAATCGACGGTATAGTTTAAATTTTTAGTTATTTTCAACAGATGAGCAACTTACTAATAATGGAAATTAATTTTTAGATACCTTTGGAGTACAACCGTGGACAAGGCATACTTCGACCAAAAGAGGTGACTCTGCGTCTAACACGAAGAGATAACTGCCCTCTGAAACAGTGATAAAAAAAAACAGTTCGTGAAAATACTGATGTGGCCCTTTTATATTTTTATGTGACATATTTTTGTGATTTATGCAAAGAAAAAATGATTCATGTATATACACTGTATGTTATCCTTCTCACTCTCTTATCATGTTACCGTCCTTTCATTTATCGTGTGATTTTTTATACTTTTAGATGTGACTTTTGTTAAAATAAACAATTTTATACGTTTAAGAGTTTTTAGATAATTGAATATTTATAATGATTGAAAATAAATACTGCCTTGCTGCTTCTCTTACGTTTCTGTAAATCAGTGTTTCCCAAACTTATGACTTTTATGCACCCTTTCTAAATTTTTCGTAACGCTGTGTATCACTAATAAGAAAATGAATGTATTTTTTACTATAAAAAAATGGCACAAAAGTTAAAAATCACAAATGGCTGTTGACACCACTCATTATTAACTGTTAACTCTGCAGAAAATAGCCAATAGAAAAATGCGTAATCGTAAATTTTTATGGATAGCTTTGCTTCCAAAAATTTTTTTTTGTAATTTTCGTTTGTTGCAAGATATTTCGCATAAGAACGTGTACCCCGCTAAACTGTTCCCGTACTCCTGGGGGTACGCGTACCATGCTTTGGAGAAGACTGCTGTAAGTAATCAAAATTATATGACGAAGCTTAATTAGCGCCTATTTTTTGAACGAATACAGGCACTTATCGAATTTTGACTTACCATAAGATATTTCATTTTATTTTATTTGTCATCATCAGCATTGGCACGACNTGTGAGCCTGGGCCTTACTCAGAGGATTTTTCCATTCTGCCCTTCTCCCAGCAATTGATTTCCAGTTCTTTACTTTTAGGATGTTATTTTATTTGTAACCGTCGTTAAACAGCCGACTCCCAAATAGGTCTTTTAAATTTTTTATGTTGTGCATAAGGCCACCCATCCTGTCCTTTAAGTAGTTGTCCTAAATATTCAAAGCTACTTAGAAAGAATACGCTTATTAATTTACAAAAATTCAGAGACCCATAAGAGATTTATATTTTATTTTATACCGGTTCGGAATAAAATTAAATATAAATCTCTTACCGGGCAACTTTAAATACCATTTGGTTGCCGGGCTAACCAAAGGAACATTAAAATATATCCATTTTATTTACTGTGGTGTATTTCTCTCGGGTTTATATGACTTTCCATCGACGAGAAGTCAACCGGGAACTTAAAGCCACACCCATTGCACAATTGTATTTTATTTTGAAGGCATATTTAAATACAATTAAATTAAAATTAGTAAATCCAAACAATTTAAAATATGAACAATCAACACCTCCCCCCCCCCGGTGAAATTATTAAACGTTTTACGGTCCACGGCGATAAAAAGGTGTGATAACACTACTCTAAAACATCTATTTTGGTGTTGCATAAAATCACAATACCCACTCATCGAGTGCTGCTGCCTTTAGCAAAATATTCAAAGCAATATTGAAAATATTTATTGACTTTTTTCTTTTTGAACAAACTTATCGACGATTTATCAACAAATATTTATTTTGAGGGCGAGTTGACGTTTCTCCCAAACACCACTTATTTCAAAACGCTATCGCAACGCTTAAAATATTCACAATCAGACATCTGATATCTATTCATAATAAAGAATAAGATAATATACACATGTTAATAAAAATTATTCTATTATGCATGCAAAGAAGAAACATCTTCACGGCCATCCATTATTAACAGGAGCAACCAACGGTGACACTTTGTAACAATTACGTCATCTGCGCTTATTTCGGTGTTCTTTTTTCTTCCATTCCATTTCATTCTGCTTCAATATTCGTGTGTCCGCTTCGATCCAAAGTAGAAATTATTCTACAAAATCTGTTTTATAAATTGATTTACGATCAAAATTTTAAGATTTTATTCATGATTTTAAACGCTAGAGATCAACCACCGAGATCGCACAGTTTGCTAAACTTAACCTTTTGACGCTGATGGAATACCAATATAATTTTTTTTTTCTAAGGCTATAATTAGGAGCAAAAATACAATATCAAATCCAAAAAAAACAATAATAATTTGGGAAATATTTTTTTCTTAAATTCAAGTTCACAAATGTATCGATAATTGATTTAGTGAATTAAAAAAAATTTAAATCATGAATAATTGTCGAAATTAGATCTAAATAAGTACAAATTTGAAAGATTATTGTTTGGAAGTGTGCCGTGTTTGGAAGACTTTACCTTTAACGCAGAAAAAGAGACCGCTGGTTTCATGCTCTATATCATAACCATAAATTATTAAAATGCTAAATCTGTTATTTTTCACTTATTTTGACTCAATACAAAATAACGAAAGAAGTACGAAAATATGTTTAATAAAAATTCTGCGTCAAAGGCTTAATATTTATCTTGTGAATAATTGTAGAGCTTGGGTTGACACAATGATAAGCCACGTTTATAACTTATTTAAAAGAACCTTTTTAAGCGAAATTTGGGAAAATTTAATATAATTGTCAGATTCAAGCAAGTCTTTTTATGAGAACATGTTATCTTTTTTACACAACTAAAACCATGCATGTCGTTTATAACAGCGAACTTGCGTTGCGTTAAACATCTTGCGAATCGTCAACAAATATTCTCTCAGTGGTCCTTCAACAGTATTTCTCTCTTTCCATCTCAAAATACTTTAGATTTAATCAACATGAGTGATATAAATGTGATATTAAAGAGATATCTCAATAGTACAGTACTGTAAACAAAGTATTGTTTTCATCCGATGATTTTCAAACGTAATTAATTGAGGATTTCAGAAGTATGTCATGAATAGTGTAAATGTTACCGTGAATGATCGAAATCAAGAGAATGTCGACTTTCACCGGTGAATGTCAACAATCTCATAGTCGCTTTGGTGAATGTTCAAAATATTAGTCATACCCGATTTTATATTACTTTATTCGTTGATATTATTATATTTATCCGATATTTTAATATCTGCTGAGGATAGATTCGAAGAAACATCAGTGTTTGGAGTACCGGTTAAATGCATACCGAGCAGTGGTACTTGACCTTAAAAAAACATCGATGTAGGACATACCAGGCAGTGGCACTGAACCTTAAAAAAATATTGATATTGGGCATACCGGGCAGTGGCACTTAACTAGACCTAGTCTATACTTCGGACATTTACTGAAGCGAGTATGTGATTGTCAACATTCACCGGTGAATGTCAACAATCACATAGTTGCTTTGGTGGATGTTCGAAATATTTGTTATATCCGATTTTATATTAATTTATTCGTTGATATTATTATATTTATTCGATATTTTAACAACTGTTGATTGTAGATTAGGAGAAACATCAGTGTTCGGAGTACCGGTTAAATGCATACCGAGCAGTGGTACTTGACCTTAAAAAAACATCGATGTAGGGCATACCAGGCAGTGGCACTGAACCTTAAAAAATATTGATATTGGGCATACCGGTAAGAGCCCTTAACTAGACCTAGTCTATACTTCGGACATTTACCGAAGCGAGTATGTGATTGTCAACATTCACCGGTGGATGTCAACAACCACGTAATTTGGTCATTCACAGTAATGTAAACGTTATTGTTGTTTACAGTTAAATACACCTTTTTAAAGTGTAATGGTTAGTTTAATTCGGTATTAACTTAAAATAAAGGATTCCTTCGCACAAGTTTTGGATTTTTTCAAGACCGAATTCGAAGTTTTTACACTAAAGTTATAATTGATTATAGTTAAAATAATTCCCGTCTAACAGTCGCTTTTTGCACACACTCTTGCTTATACAATAGAGTTTTTTTTTACACAACTAAGCACAATAGACCACTTGGTACGTATTTAATAATATATTTGTCTAAAAACATTTTAAAATGTGTATCTATGCCTAAATTGTATGTGAATGCAAAAAGATAATTCATAAATTTTTCACTCATAAAAACCGGCATACTATTATAATTTCTAAGTGATCCTCCACCGTTTAAAAGCTATTATGCTATTGAATTATGTGCATGAATTGGTGCGTGTCATTCATGATCAGCGTGAAGGCTTTTACCGATTCATTTCATTTCGATGAATTCATGAATACTGTTGACTAGCTAGAGGGTATACTAAATCTAAAAGTGAGAAATAAAGAAAGATTGGTATTGTTCGTTCACCAGGAGTTGACACTTGGCTCCACCTTCTCGGACGAAGAGTTCATTTCAGCGCATAGTAAGAGGAGAAACGTTTCCACGCTTGAAATTGAGACAACCCTTAATGCTCGCCAAACGCAAACAGTGAATTCTTTTTCAGTCACTAATTTCGCTTTATCACCTGCTATTATATCTTTCCTTTTTTCTAGATAATTAAATCCATTGCAGCAAAATGTCTCAAAAAGGAAAAAAACTATTCACTCAAAAGAGAGAAATATCAGCAAATTTATGAAATATTTAATGTTAAAAAAATGCACATAACGATTGCGAAATAAATATTTTTGTCATGCGATCTTCAAATAGCAATCTTGTTCAGGATTGTTCACATCCTTCTCCCAAAAATGGAGAAATAGTGTCGTCGGATATCACGTGATGAAGGCGGAGCCAAGTGCCACCCCCTAGTGAATGAACTATATATGTTATTGATGACCAGCTTGCAAGCTTTTGCGGATTCATTTAATTTCGATGAAATGATGTAAACTGATGACTAGGTAAAGGAAATAAATAAAGAAAAATTGATCAAAATTTATCGGTTGCTTTTTATTTTAGTGATATACAGAGGTGATTGTTTCAATGTCATGGCAAAATTCCTCTAAGTTTTCTGATTTAAGTATCAACAACATTGCAAAAATCTTCTGGGAAAAAATTAGCAGTTGGCATCTCTGATAATTCGAGAAAAAAAATGAAGGAAGGAGCACTTAGCAAACAAAACAAAGTGACTGTTTTAGAATAACCCCGATGTTCTTCTGACCTCAATCACAGGGAGAATATATAGACTTATTGAAGAAAAAAAGAAGAATCCAGACGCAAACTAAAAAATTTTTGAACGAAAAACTAGCCTCTTTAATTCATTGATTGACTGTGGTTTAGAGACAAAGAAATGTCCGTTTATTATATACATAACTATGTAATAAACTATGACAATTTTAAAACTAGCTTTTTCATTGTGCATAACACTTTAAAAAAAATTGATTGTTATATCTTGAGAATCAGTCACGTGATTTATAAGCAGCA